GTGTTCAGATATGATAAGATTTTTTTTTTTTTTTTTTTTTTTTTTTTTTTTTTTTGAGAGGGGAAGTCAGCCAGTCAGGAAGATCGACGATCCAACGTACCTGAGCAACATGCTGATCTCTCGCAATACGACTGGAAAAGATCAAGTTGCATCGCGAGCATGAGGCTTCTCGTGCCCTTGGCATGCTTGAGTGGTGCAGGGTGCGTTGGAGTAGCTCGTGGCTCTTGTGAGAGAACGAAGCGGTCAAAGATTTTTGTGATTGATTTAATGCAAGCAAGAAAGAAAGTAAAACTTCATCACACTTATTTGCTGCTTGCAAGCCATCTGACAACTGTGGAGTGAGGACATGAGAGTTGTTGTCATGCAAATGGGAATCGGCATGTAGTTTTGGCTGGCATGACGAATGAAGGTAATACACATCCAAAGTATAACAAGTTGAATAGCGTTAGGTAGACCAGGAACGGGCGAGTACAGCCACTCGACAAACAAGTCGCGCGTTTTTAAATCCTTCAATGTCCTTTCCCTCAAGTTGTAGCCCATCCGCTGGGCCAGGTCGCGCAGCCCCGGATGACAGTCCGAATAAAGGAGGAGACAGCTCAGGCCCGAATCCAGTCCTTGAGACTGCCTGCAACGGTGATTCCATGTATCCCATCCACGAATCCCCTTTGGCATTCCACAAGCGTAGCAGCACGTCCATTTGGGATATGCGAAGCCCACGAAACATTCACTTGTCTGGTGTCCTCCGAAGTGACACCGCTTGCAAACACGATTAGATACGCATTGATGCTCGGCCTTCAGGACGGGTTTCGCCTGTCGAATGGTACATCGCATGCAGTAATCATCCATCAACTTCAGAACGCCAATAAACTTGTCAGCCGCCGCGTGGTGCATCAGATATTTTTTTTTTGTCCCCGATTTCGACCGAAATATTGGCGCGACGTTGTGCCGATTCGGCGGCGTAGCCGCAGCAGATACCGTGGATTCAGAGCGAGTGGTAGCAGTAGCGGCAACGGTAGCGGTGCGCGTGCCACTCGATGCTGCTCGTTTTGCTGCGGGAAGAGGCGACTCCGCTGCTTGCGCCGCTGTTGAAGAAGCAGCAGCTGTGCACGTGACGTCCGATGCCGCTCGCTTGGATGTTGAGG